AGTACGTATTTGCCCCCTAACATCCCAAAATAGCTATTTGAAACAACAGAATTCAAAATGGCCACTGTATCGCCGAAAAACGTCCATTGCCAAAAGTAGTCGCAGTCGCTTATGAGAGCTTTTCATTACAGAGTATGAGCAGGGGTTTCGTTAATGTTTTCAGCAGGAGGGTGACTGGTTTTCACAGGAGGGCAAAACATTTTGGACTGAACTTCTTCATAAGAAAAACTTCCCTCTAGATGATCAAACCAGGTGGGCAAAAATCATCCTCACAGCTGGTCAATTTGCCTGGTGCCTGGCCCTTAATGAAACCACTGCATGAGTGACAATTTAAACAGTGGTCACAAAGGTGGTCCTAACTGAAGCTGGTTGCTTATGAAAGCAGTCACAAGGAATTCATGGACTGTATATGAAAACCTGCAATTATATTTTCTTGACTGGTACTCAGACCATCTAAGCATGGGAACCAAAATCATATCTGATGTTTTAACAAAATTTCAGTGACTGGTTATTGGCCATCGTATGGGATATTGGTAAAAAAGAATTCCTCCCACTGGATGAGCATAATTAATTCTTTGCAATAAATATAACTTGCAATGACAGAAAAGGAACCACATACTTTCTGTGTCAGGTTTTTGGACCCCAACATCAACAGACTGCAAACAGATTCGTGGTAATTCACCATGGCCAATAGAGGCTGGCTCAGGAAAGCTGTCTTTGGCAATATTTGTGGAAGCCAAATGATCATTCATGGGCATCTCAGTCGCCACACGAACTGTGGAAAATTAAAGCGTAAAGTTTTTATTCAGCTACCATTTTCTGACAAGAAATGAATAGTATCAGCTAGGTTAAATAGCAATAATTACACATACATTTGTAAACTTAAGGTGCAACAACTATTGACTGTCCTGCTCACAATTAATAAACAAAAAAATAACACAGAAAAAACTCTTAAGTAACCGTTGGGATCAGGAAGTTTTATTATCAATATTCGTATATAACAATACCTGTGTTGGAAACTAAAATAATTTTGACAGCTTTTGCCATTCCCGTGACTGACTCTCAAAATGTACTCGCCTGGTGTAATTTTCAGTGTTTCAATTATCATTATGAGAAAGCCAATCATGGTCCATTTTAGAAAACACTTATGTTGTTTTTCATTGAAAACTTAGTTGGGCATCTAAAAAGATTAATTAAAAAGAATTTAAAAAAAGAACTCTGGTAAGGATTTTCTTGCCAAAATGGAAAATAAAAAGGAGGGTTAATTAATATTTCAGGTCAAATAATTTCTCAAGAATGGTAATGATTTGTGCTTGTTTGGTGGTCTTCACTCATGCATGGACAAGCAGGCAGGTGCTTAAATTTCCAACACTGCAGCAAAATAATAAGACAATGGTACAGCAAAATTAAATTACAGTTACTATGATGTAAAGATTAAAAATTATTTAAAATAACATAATTCAAAAGAGACAGAACTGAACTGATGATGGAACAGACTGTATGTTTTCTGCCTAGTGAGTTGTTTTCATTGTCCAGTAATGAGCAGGCAAGGTTACTCAAGTCACATTCACTGTAAATTATGACTGTGATAACATTATACAGCAGTATGAAAATACTGGTAGATGTAAAACAAATGAGTAATGAAAACATACCATATCCTTTCTTGTTTCCTGGACTACTGAAAAGCTTTTTGAAGCCACGCTTCAAATCTGATGTTTGTTTTGGCTTATCAAGATCCTTGAGACATCCTGGGTGGGAGCGAGACCTACGCATCATTGACTTAACGTCAGATTTAATTTCAGTGGGAGCTGACAGCAGCCGTTGATATACTGGTTTCTTCACTGTCCTAGTTTTCACCACTGCTGTATCTGAAGTGAACAATGAAAAAATATTTGACTGCATGAATGACTGAATTTATTAATGAGTGAGTCAGAGCAGTGCACTTCCTAGCTTGCAAACATGTAGAAAGGAAGGAAGAAATGACTGATTGAATAAATGTGGGTGGAAGAGTATCAACAAATTCTTGCTGGTTTTTTCTTCTAACAGTTTTATAGTGCAAGAACCAAACTATTACTTTAAATGTTGTGTCCCCTTATTAGTACGGGTTTCTCCCAGGCTACATGGTTTGATACTTTAATAATTTCATTTATTATTTATTAATGTTCTTACTTAAGATGTATGTTGCATGAAGTGTCACAAGCTACTAGGAAGTGGCATATGTTTTTTTTAGAAATAATTGATAACAATCTAGTTACAAATGATTGCATGTGACTGAATGCAAAGTGCCATTAGAAGAGGTTTAAGCACAAAATACAATTATTACCAGTACAGTATTTATAAGACCTACTTTCAATTCTGCTGCTTTTATTATATATTTGTATTTGAAGGAAATTCCATGTATTTGTCAGATGCCTCCTTTTTAAAATCTTTTTAAGACTTTCATGTCATATTCATATTAATAACTGAAGTAAGTTGTATTTACTCCTGATCTCCAATGACTCACAGAGTTACCATGGCCAAACAAGAAACCTTTTTTCTTTCTCTGAATTCCCCACAATAATTTTGAAAATATTTTTTTCATCAAATACATAATCATAATCAAGTATATAATCAACAGCAAAATCAATAATAAACCAATTTATCATTAACAATAATTACAATTTCCTCAAATTTAATAAATCTGCAAAGTTGTAGTTGACAGTGTACCGTAGAATTCCAAAAGTAACAGCTCCCATTACTTTTAGATTTAGCAGGCAAAAGGGGCTGCTACTTTCGGGTAGCCGTTACTTTCAGATGGTTAAAAAACATTTGTACATTAGCAGTNTTAGAAGAGGTTTAAGCACAAAATACAATTATTACCAGTACAGTATTTACAAGACCTACTTTCAATTCTGCTGCTTTTATTATATATTTGTATTTGAAGGAAATTCCATGTATTTGTCGGATGCCTCCTTTTTTACTTTTTTTTAAGACTTTCATGTCATATTCATATTAATAACTGAAGTAAGTTGTATTTACTCCTGATCTCCAATGACTCACAGAGTTACCATGGCTAAAAAAGAAACCTTTTTTCTTTCTCTGAATTCCCCACGATAATTTTGAAAAGATTTTTTTCATCACATACATAATCATAATCAAGTATATAATCAACAGCAAAATCAATAATAAACCAATTTATCATTAACAATAGTTACAATTTCCTCAAATTTAATAAATCTGCAAAGTTGTAGTTGACAGTGTACCGTAGAATTCCGAAAGTAACAGCTCCCATTACTTAATTTGGATTTAGCAGGCAAAAGGGGCTGCTACTCTCGGGTAGCCGTTACTTTCAGATGGTTAAAAAACATTTGTACATTAGCAGTCGTTTCAGACAAAGTGGATGCATACCAAGATATTAATTATTAATTATACTAATAGTGATCACCTGAAGACACAGTTCCTTGTACTTTGGCATCTTCTTTCAAATGACTTCCATTTGCATTCATACAAGAAGACGATTCCAAGTCTTGGTCCTGGCACTGACCATTGGCATCAAAATAAAATGTATGCTCACCATTGTTTGAACCCATAAGGTTACAGCAAAAACAGTAACACCTTTTAAGGGAACTTTTGACATCCTGCCAGCTATAATACTTCCAAATTACAACAATTAGAACTATAATGACAAATATTACAGAACTAAGTGCAATAGCAACAATTTCTAAGGCTCCAAGACCTCCTTGATTCTGTGGTTGGTGATCTTGCCTTTTATGATCTGCCTCTGTTGGAGGGTAACACTTGAAACTGGTTTGCCTGCATTGTTTACTAGAAGGAAGTCCAGAGTCCTCACACTGTTCTTCATGGTATTTTACATCTTCACCACAACAGTAACTGCATGCATGGCAGTCTTCACTGATCTTGCTCTTGTAGTAACCCCTCTGACATATCCCCAAACATTCTGTAGTGTCTTCCTCAGGAGTACACTCTCCTGTCCTAAGTTCATGCTTGCCACAATTCCTGCAGCTTCTGCAGGTAGAATAATCCTATGTACTAGAGGTGCTAACTCCTTTAACACAAGGGACACATGTTAATGGGGTTCTAAATGGAATACTGGAGCCACATTGCACACTTAATCCAGATCCAGGAGGGCATTCTGTATTAGTACATTTCCAAATAACAGAATGTGTCTCATTTATAACTCTTTCTATTTCATCATGTCTGGGTTTCTGACGTTTTCCATGCACAGAAACAAGACCAGAAGCAGTGATAAGAGCAACCACCTGCAAAAGCAAGTCAATAGTCATTTGTTGAAAAAAGGTGCTGAATTTGCATATTTCAAAAGAAATGATATTGCAGGCAGCAACGCTGTCAGTAGTTTAGAGTGTTCAGGGGTACAGAGATCAAGTCCACCAACTTACATACACATTAATTTTGTACCACAGCCTGGATTTGTTAGAATTCAGTGGTCGCAAACTTCTCCATACTTTTGAGACCTTCTGAAAAGTCTCCCTCCTGCCAGTTGGGGATTTGTAACATTTTGAATAGGGTGCCAAAAAAATTATCTGTGCTAAATTAAACTGGCAACTGTATACCTTGCACTCACATCTTTTTCACATAAATTACTGCAGGTCACAGGGACCTAAGGTTGGGGTTCTTCCAAATTATGGTGGCCCATAGGCATCACGGCAAAACCAAAAACCTCATAGCAAAATCAAATAAGCTCAGGGCAAAATAAAATAAACTCATGGCAAAACCAAACAGCTTTGACTTTCTGCCAAAAGGTTTTTGGTCTCGTCTTGAACTTTTTGGTTTTGCCATGAGCTTCTTCTCTCACCAACAGGCGACCAACATGCTACCAACAGCTGACCATATAAGTTAGCCATTGATTAGTATGTCGGTTGAGTGTCAACCGATATATCAAATGTGTGATCACCACTAATATCAAATGTCAATCAATGGCATCTGTGAAAATTAACATCTGACCGACTGTCCATTGACCTTTGATTGATTTGTCAGCTAAATTTGGCTGAGATGGCAATTGAGTGTCGATTGCTGGTATCAGTCTACACTCATCTGCAGGTGTCTTTAAGGCCCCATCCACACTTATCCGGATATTTTTGAATCCAGAACTTTTCCTTTCCGGATATGGCTTCCGTCCATATGTATCCAGCGAATTCGGCAGTGAATCCAGATATTTTTTAATCTGCCCTTCAGAGTGGAAAAAAATAGATCTGCAACGAATCTGATAACGTGTGGATGGTGAATATACGGATATTTTGAATCCAATGATGTAGCAAAATCATGTCTAGTCTCTTAATGAACAATATACCAATAAGGCGGCAAAACGCGCAGGCCTTAATAAGTTTCTCTAGAGTGAATCCAGACACCATCGGATGTGTGTGGACAGGTGAATTTGATTTGAATGCACTTCATGTGGACAGGGAAATTTTTGAATCTGGAAAGAAAAAGTTGCGGATACAAAAATATCCGGATACGTATGGATGGGGCCTTAGTTTAGTACACATGATCCCTGTAATCCATAACCAACTTGTCAGCAATTTTTGCTTATATAATACTCTTTCAACAGCTCAAACAGGAAATTATACAGAATTACACTTCTGCAATGTTTCAAAGCAGAGGATGTTTATACTGATGTGATTTCTAGTCAATTTTTCTAAATTTTTCTGTGAGAAGCAACCCACCCTAGTTAACTCTAGTCATACAGGTCATATTTTGTACACTCTCATCTGGATTTGAAATGTTCTTTTTCAAGAGATTTGTGTTGGGATTATTAGCATTGGGGATTTAAAACTAAAGCACTACTCAACAGGGTGAGGGACAGATGCTTTTGTATAGGGAAAGCATTTCAAGCAATAGCTAGGCACCCCCTAGCCAAAAAACTTAGGGATTACCCCTGAAGTGAAAGGGCCGTCACTGAATGATTTGTTTACCTTTTAGCTATCACATGCAAAATTTTTTCTCCACGATTTTTACAGATCACATGTTACTCTTTTTACCCAAATAATGCGTCATACAACACCAGGATTAAGATAGAGTAAAATAATTAATGCCGGGCTATTGCCCTGGAGCACGAATCACCTGTGGAACTGACATATGCAGAACTTTCCTTTATCTGAGCAGTCAAAAGAACTTAAATTTTTTCCCTTTAAAAATACCGGCATTACTGGTCCATTCTTTAAAACACTTTATTGTGGTTACTCCAGACTGTTAAGTTACTTTATTCTCAACAGAGGGAACTGCTGCTTTTACTTTTCTCATAACCTAAGTTAACTTACGTAAGCTACCCAAGACAACCAGAGTTTGAGAAAGATGAAAGTTGTTGTTCTCGATTTTCTCTGATACGACTTTTGAAAAATAAAGGATCGAGTGACTAACTTACCGGCTCGCTCAACGGCGAGCAAGAAAAATTAGTATGCGCGGAAAATGAGGAAAATTTTTCACCGCCATGTACGTGCAAGGCAGCACGTATTATTTTTGCTCTACGTTTTTTACATTTAAAGTAAACTTAAAGGAACTAAAATTATGTAAAGATACCATGTACATACCAAACAACAAATGAGCTTAAATGTTTTCATCGATCGACGTTACTGCGGCCCCGCAACATCGTAGACGGTTGACAAATCTAGAAGATACAAACAATTTGAAGAGCAGTCAAGATCAATTGATGGAGTTTGTTACAGCTCAATATCGATCGATATTTTTCATTAGAAAGGATAACGATAACTCATTTGTGCAAGGATGAAAAGAAGCTAATTAAAGTCTACGATTACCCGTAAATTACACCAGCTGTCAAATACCGAAACACAGCATCAACAAATTTTCAAGGTCCAAGAAGGTTCTCAACAAAAGTTTACCTCTTTAAGCGCTACCTCCTAACGACACAATGCACCGAATATTAAACCCTCGAGGATCTCTGGATCGGATATCGAGTCGATATTGAAGCATACAATAACGAACGTTTCTCTACTCGAGTTGTAGAGGCAATCCTCGGGATTCCATTCATTAACTTGCATCTTATGTAGTTGATGCCGACTCGGGGATTCCCCGTATCGAAAATGGTTTATGGTGATTGGTTCAAAGGATTGACGTAGTCAAGTAAATCGGGCAATCATCAGGCGCTATTTGCGCGGGAAAACTGTGTGATCGATTAATCTTGATTCTGATTGGTTTTCTATCGGTCTATCAAGCCAAGAATTCGAGAGCGGGCGGCGGGCGGCGGGCGGCGGGCGCAGCTCAACAAGTTGGAGGTGTAACGTAAGCACCTTTTCCACGGTTTAATATCTGAGAATACCAGCTGGAGATGCAACGTAAGCACCTTTTCCACGGTTTAATATCTGAGAATGCCGTCACGTCACCGTGCTAAATGCGCTTGAAGATGACAATAGACGTTACGTCTTCTCAGAAATATAGGCGCTTGCCATCGCAAGAATAATGTGTCTCAAGGTGCGTATTAACTGGCCTTTTACGACTTTTACGGTTTTTAAGGGATAATATAATGGCTTAGGGACCGTTCATTTTTTATAAGGTAGGGGGGGGCTCGTGGGATTTGGGGGGGAGCCATGCGAAAAAAAATGGCTTTCGAGGGGGGG